CCACATGCCTTCTTACACAGAGTTCACAGACAAGGAGGGGAGAGTGCTGAGAAAACACTGTATGCCGAGAGCTGTAACAGGGTCAGGCACTGGGGATCAGGGCCTCCATGCAGGATTGCTCAGGCTGTGCACTGTGCACACGTCTGTGAGAGTGTCCATCCCTGGTGTTATGCAATCACAGCCTCATGGAAGATAGGAAGGGCTTTCTGGAAGAAGTCTTGCCTTAATGGAATTATGCAAGATGAACAGTTATTAGCTCAGGAGGGGTGTGTGTGTGTGTGTGTGTGTGTGTCTGCTGGTGGACTGACACACAGCATGGAGGAAGAGACAACAGGATGACAAGGAGGGAGGAGAAAAGTGAAGGGGAGGTTGGGGTTGGTGGTGAGGAACTGGTGTTCAGGATCATATCCAGGTGTCTAACTTGTTAACTGGTGATACTCCATGGGGTGGGGATAACGGAGGAAGAGCAGGTTTACAGAGAAAGATCGGCTCCCAGTTTTGATGCTGTTGAGCCTGAGGTGCTCTGGGACATCCAAGTTCAGGAGGCAGGCGGGTCCTGAATCTTGAGTTCAGCAGAGAAGGCAGGAGTCAACAACAGGGAGATGGTGGCCATGGATTTAGATGGCATCACCCAGACATTACACTCAAGGGCCAGGCAGGCAAAACTGAAAAGGCCTCACTGCAGAGGTGGGTGATAAGGAAAGAATGGGATGTCTCAGAGGCCCATGGAAATTGCCTTTCAGCAAGGCTGGAGCTTTCTGTGTCAAATGACTGGTGAGACATCAACTAAGATGACAGCTGAGAAGAGTCCAAAGGATTAGGTCAGGAGTGACCTTGGCAGGGCAGTTTTGGGGGTGGATAGGTATAGAATGAAAGCTTGGTGGAGTGACTGGAAGGTGTGGAAGAAAGACAACAGGCACAGACAAACGTTTTCAAGAAGTCTGACTGTAAAGGAGAGAAAAGACATTAACTATCGAGACACACAGGATAAAGTTGCTCCTTAGCACAATTCGATCTGTCCCTGTGATACAGTGAGCTGGACGCTGAGTCACCCTGTCACTCAGACCTAGGTTATCAAAAGCAAAGGCACCAGAGCAGGTCAGCAAATGGAGGTGGGGGTACACGTGTGCACTCCAAAACCAAATGCCAACAATTTCTAACTACAAATAAATTCTTTGGTACTTCTTTTCAATGTTTTTACACTACAGACATCACCTGTTCCTCTTGCCCACATGACTGGTGTTTTTCTAAGGATGTTCAAAGGCAACCCTGTGCTGAACAGTGGGAAACTTGACAGAATTGTCTTTCCAACATTGTTTGAGCACCCAGTGGAGAAAAGTTTGCATGCATAGCACACGCAAAGGGGCTCTTTTCCCTAGCTGCGAGCTTTCCCACCGGGCAGGACTCGCCAGCTTCCCCCCAAGAAGGAAAGGGTGAGGGAGTCGGGGTCTCTGCGCTTCACCTACCGCTGCTTGAGTGGGTTGCTGCTTCTTGTTCCGCTTTGGCCTTAACTTGGTGAAGTGCTCCAGTTTCCTCCCCTCTTCGGAGGGCAACTCAGAGATCAAGCCTGAGCTCCGCTTCTCTGGTCTGACAGAGGGGAAAGGCGGATCCTCAATGTGAATTGGCACCTCTTCCAGGGCTTTATCCAGATCAAACTCCATTTCTAAAACAAAGCAAACCCCAAGACCCACACTTATTGCATAGAGATGGATAAAAAAATTCCTAAAAGTAATTTGGAGTCTATCGCGGAATAGTACACATCCACTTGACTCTCATTCTCAATATTTGCTCATCTAAAGCATCTCTAAAGGAGTGGGAGGCCCTTGTGGAGGGTGTTTCATAGGTACAAGGAAAGGACTGGCGTTAGCAACATACTCACCGAAGGCCCTGGAAACTGGCCGCAGCATCCGGCTGTGGATACTCTTCCTTTTGGATTTAGGAGTCATCTAGCAATAGAATACAGAAGGCACTGAGACAAGTATTCACAGAAAACTTGCCTTTCAAACTTCAGAAACATTTGGGATCTGTTGTTTAAGCTCAGAATTTTTTTCACTTCCTTAGAGGATGGTTGGTATCATCTGATAGCCTGACTGAAAAGACTGAACCCATTTCTAAATGTTTACAATTTTCTCAAATGATACAGCCAATGTTTTTCTTCTTTCCCCAAGCCCTAACCAGCCACATTCTATTTACATGGCTGAAAGGAACAATGAATGACACAGAATTTAACTTGGAGCTGTGCGTTACAGTGTTAAAATGGATATAAAAAACAGGACTGAAAGACTATAAACATCAGTGGTTAAAAATTAAAAACAATTATTCATGGGTCATTAACACAGCAACAGCAATGCCAGCAACACTGAACTTTGTCAATGGTAACAATTAAAGCAGTTTAACTGTTTTGTTTCACATCTCAGCCACCAAGATTTTCATCTTTACATTGTGGGCAAGGATGAGTTAGGAAAAAGTTGCCATGATTTAGAAGTCTGTGTCTGCACTCCTCAGAAAGGCATCTTTGATCCTGCTAGCCCTTTAAAAAATGAGACGGAAACCCAAACCATGGTCAAAACTTAAGAGCATTTTTCTATTATTAGTGTCAACTGTTGTTTATGTAAAACCAAACCTAAGGAAGGCATTTGCTTCTGTCTCCATAAGATCATCACACACATCAAAGCTGGAAGAAACCACTATCCTCACTGACACAAATT